CAAAGGGAAGCAAAAAAATTCAGACTTGAAATATTGGCTCACTGGGTTTTATGAAGGTTGGTTTTGAGTCATATGCAACCCACATTAAGATGATGAATATTTTCCTATAGGGGAGAGACTTAAGCTTCCCTAATCCAACCAACTTGTTACTCCTAATGCCAAAAGGAAACACAGCAACACCCATGCCCTTCACTGCTGACAAACCACCGCTGGAATGACTGGAACAGGCTGTAGCTCTTCCCACAACTTCCATTGAATCCTGGAGCACCAGACCCCGCTGCCCAATACCCTCCAGCACTTCGTCTTGGCATACTCCCTGGAGTTCCTTTGCTGGGCTATTACAGGGAGTGCCAATTCACGTAATCACCGAAGCCAGGAACACCTAGTCCCAGAACAGCACTTACAGACAAAGCATAAAACAACAAAACCCTTCTTTCCTATGCTAGACTTGCACCATTCCTTACTACCGTATCTTGCAACAGCAGCATATGATTCATCACACCACATTTGTTTTAAGATTAAGGGTTTTACTAACTGTTCAGGACATCTTAATTGCTTTGATTTTATGTATAACTTCTGCCTTATCTGAAAGCTAGATGTAATTTAAATGAAGAGAAAAAAAACTAAACAAAAAAAGGCCAAGATACTAAGCTTCCTCTAGGACTTTATCCATGGATTGAAAGTTCTAGCACTTGAATTCCACTTCAGAAAAGACTAGTGGTGCTTCACCTTCCAATACCTGAACTACAGAATTATCCATGAAGACCACATCCAGGCATCTACACAAATGCCTCACCTAACAGAGTCAAAACTTTAGAAACTGAAACAAAGAGCTATAGATTTCACACTTTGCATGGCAGAAGAGAACATGAACATCTATCAAGTGTGTAAGAAATAAAAGCAAGGCAACTATTTTGCGTCTCATCAGCCCTACCACACTACCAAGGGTCCAGTGTAGTACGATTGGCATACTGGTAAAAGAACACACAGTACACACTGTTGTATGTAAAATCATTGCCAAACATGAAAGCAGCTCATTGAAATCATGGAGTTTTAGGTGTAAAGCAGGTATACTGGCTGAACTGTTCCTCCGCCTCACTGGAAGCCTGTACTACTCTTGGGAATAGGTGTTGCCAAGTTACTGGCCTCCATCTCCAGGAGGGCACTATAATCTTCACAGACACCACTCGGTAGCTGCAGATCTTAAACGAATTAAAAGCTTTTTCACTAAAATGTTTCTGGAACACATCTCTGCCAGCAAGGGGGAAAAAAAACAACAAACCCAACAAAAAAACCAAAACAAAAACCCAGAAGCAGTGGTTAGTGGCAACCTGTCAATTGTTTTTTTTCATTCAATTGTCTTGATGGAAACAGCAGACCACAAGGTAAAGGAGGGAAGAAGAGGAAGCAAGGAGGAGATGCTTCTGTGATTATACTTTAATGTCAGAACACACAGTATAAACAGTTCAGGTTTCAGATCTGCTCAGCACATAAGGGAGAAATCAAGCCATGTGGATACAGCACATCTTGAGGACTTTTACCTTCGAATCACAGACATTTGTCTGTCTGTCCAATATATGAGAATCGTCACCAACCACGCCACAGTACACAACAGACAGCCACACCTAGAGTGGGGAATCAGATCACAGCCGCTGCCCAGGGACTGAGCATATCTGAAACCTCTTTCTTGGTCCACTGGAAAGCTTTGCCCTACCCCCACATGATTCCTTTTAAAGATTTATCCAATAGCAGACTACTGAGACACCCTGCTCTAGCTTCTCAAAAGAAGGAGGTCATTCAAGACAATTAAAGCACGGATAGCAGCATTCAGACCTTAAAAGAATAAGTCTCTTTGTAGTTTCAAAGTATTGTTCAGCTGCACAGATAACCTGCGTTTGTCGAGTGATGCAATACGAAATTTTCATTATGTACACAGCCACGCTGTTCTATTGAGTACGATGTTCTTTGATAAGCTGCAAGGGTGCTCAGTTTCCAGACATTTGGAGCCAGAAAAAGCCCTACAGTAACGTGCTGCAGAGAACAATAGCCCCCTGAATGTGACTGGGGTAGACGGACGCCACCATGAAAAGTTTTGAAACGGGAGAGAAAAAGAGAACTTGAAATAAAATAAATAAGTAAATAGAATAGGAGCAACAGCAGCACAAACTCACGATTCACCATCTGCTGGCATTCACAAGAGTTCAATCAGGGGTAGGAAAGAAGGAATCACCCTTTAAATTTGCTACCTATTTTATAGATTTTTTTCCTCTCTTTATAGCCACTAATTGTGTCATTTCATCTTAACAGCAACCACACATTTACAATGGATAGAGATGAATTTCCTTTGGAGTCTCAGTCACTCGTTGCAATCCGTGGTCTCCCTTCCAGAAAAGCTCAGTGTGGTTTCCCCACCACACACAGCAGGGAATTGCTTCTCTCTGAGTTCAGGACAAGTGCCACTCTTTTTGATCCCAAAAGCACCAGTTTCCATAATATCTTTTTCATCTTTTTTTGTTTGTTTGTTTTTTTGTTTTTAGAGTATGTATAAATATATTTATTCCTTGGGGAAAAAAATAATATAAATAATCAGAGGGCCACATGCCCTCTTAATCCCAGAAACTTTAGTGTTTATACACAAGCTGTGAATTTCTGTGAACTCTGCCAGTTCACACCCAGTCCGTGGGTGAAAACTACGTACTGGCAAAGGCTGCTCTTTACTTGTGGAAACACAGCAACAGCAGCTGGGGGAAAGGGAGTCCTGCTAAGAAAAAGAATGAGAGGCTCTTGGAGCCCAAAGGGAGCAGTGAGTTTATGAAGAAAAGCTCAGCTCTATGCAAAGCAGTATTTTCCAGATCTTAACCCTGATATCATTTCTCCTTGTACCCTTCAAAATTATCCTTAGAAAAATAACGACCAGAAATGTAAAGCCCTGAGATAGCGACACATCATTTCAGCATCAGCAACAAAATACAGCCACAGCTTTGCTTGTAGCCTTTCCTACCAGTTATCTGAAGACAACAGCCAACCCAAGGCATCCATGTTTTGCCATAGACCAGTGAGGCTCACCTTTTGCCCTGTTGCAACAACCACACTCCGATAAGATCTCTTTCTGCTTCGGGTTCCCAGGGCGAAACCTTTTCCCCACTGCACCCGCTTGTCCGTGGTTTGGGCTGGCCTGGCCACTAAAACATACCTCAAACCACAACACCACCCACAAAGCCTCTGGCTGTCACTGGGGTGGGATTCAGCTGTGGCAACGCAGATCGGGGTGGTGGGGACAGAGGGGAGAGGACAAGGCAAAACAGAGCACAAAGCTCACTCCTCTCTCCCTCTTCGAGTCTTGCTTCTTTTCAGCTGAAACATCCCACTCAGTGAACCCCACAGTGTGAGACAAAGTCCATTCATTTTCTTTGGTATAGTGTTTAGCACTCTTTTAGCAGTTTTGTATTTGAGTTATCCTCTAGAAAGATTTAAGCTGTTGTATATGTTAGACAAAAACCCATAGAAAAAAAAAAATTGCTTTAAAAGTGACAGCTGCTTTATTTTTCTTTTCCAGTCTATTTGTTCAGTTAATATAACAATATTCACCAGCAAAATATTAAAACACGTGAACAGATTACAACAAACAAAACTTGACTTATGACTTAACAGCATCCAAAAGCATAACCTGGAATGCAACTAAACAGACTTAAAATTTCATCTAAAAAACCAGAAGTTGACACATTTATCATTTCTAGATGGATAAGGTAGGCACTGTTGCCTAACTATTTCCAACTATATCTTGATGTAATGACAGAGGACTTCCTCCCATTCCTCCTTTATCCCATACCATCAAGACAACTCCTCCCTTCTTAGCAGAGGACCAAATTTAGTGTGCATAAATATTTCATAACTTCATCTTGTCAAGAAATCAAACAGAACTACTTAAGGGCATTCTTCCAGGAGCTGCACATCCAAACTCGAAGAATAAAACTGCCTTCATCATAGCTGTTCTCCCCCTTCAAACTGAAAGGCCTGAAGGTGAAGCAACAGTGAAAACCTGGAGATCTTGTGTGTGTATCACCTATGAACATGACATGAACGTTACCACCGAGTGTTAAACTCCATTAAGAAATCTAGAAACAACACAGCAAGGCTGGCATCTGCTGAAGAAAATACATCTCCAGCTTTTCAGTCCTCTCTACATCCTGGTCCTCCAGAAGAAACAAATTCTGGCTTTCACAAAAACCTCACAATGACTGAAACAACCAGCCCAGAAACAACTGGCTGCTCCAGACAGAGAAGCCAACCACGAAATCAAAAGGTGACTGAAGACAGACATCTACAGGTGGTTTGATTTCCAACAGCACGGAACACAGGCAGCTTCCACTGATCTGGAGAGGAATTCAGCACCTAAAGAAGAGACGAGGCCGTTTCCGTGCAACGGGATCCTGACCCATGGATGAGCATCCGCAGGCTGTACCTGCAGCAGTGCGGAGGAGACCAGAGCTGCATCCCAATAGAACTGCCACAAGATGCTACTTTGTTAGCAGAGGTAGCCTTAAACTTCCCGAGCATTGGATGACACACATTTGGATTGGACTCTGCATTTATTTTCTTCAGCATCAAGAAAATCTGTCAGGGCTCCACCTGTCAGCTTGGCAAGACAAGGGAGGCCGAGCAACCACCCCGGGACAGACAGTGGGTGCTCCAGTCATTTCCACAAACATCACACATTCCCCACTTTCCTCCTTCAGGAGGCTCCACGCTGATTCATGGTTGCCTTCTCTTATTGAGAGACAACCTCCTTTGGAAACAGAGTAAGTGTTCTCTTCGTACCACCAGGACCATGGCGTCTGTGTTCTTCATAAAATATTGATTCATCTGCCATCTGTAGTCCCAGAAGTTAAAAGGTAGGTCCGTACCAGTAGCTAAAAGCAGACCCAAGAGCCTCTGCCTGCACACTGAATGGACCAGACCTCAACCAGCTCCAGCCCAAAGCCCTCAGCCTCGTGCAGTACCTGAGCCTGCCTCCCAGCAGGGCTTAGCGTGGGGTGGAACCATCACTCGCAGGATGCCTGCACCAACAGCTGCCTCGTGTCTGGCCATCTCGGGGCACGGGCAAAAGAGCTCAGGTCTGTTTACATCCACTTTCCAGCCCATGTGGTTTAAGAGTGGCAGCATATGCACACGGGACAAAAAAGGCTTTGCACAACATCAGCCACATCTTCATCTCCCCAACAATCATGGGATATTCCCATCACCAGGCCTGACACAGGACCCCCCCCCCCCCAAAAAAAAAAAAAAAATTACTGGCCTCAAACCCCAGAAACTTTCCCTGCCCACAAAGCCCTTTCAGGTCCCTCCCAATGAAGCAAGACAAGAGGAGCGGGGAGATTGGGAAGTATAACACGCAGAGAGGGAAATCAGTAAATCATCAATACATCCATCCTCTTAAAGCCTGAATCACTGCCAGGAAGCTCAAGTAAATTGACAGCCTTAAGTGCAGTGACTGGAGGCCATCTTAGCTGTTCCTAGTGACAGAAGGTATTACCACGAGGAACTCCTTAACATACCAGGCTTTGCCATTCTCACAGGACCATATACATTCGACAGTATGGAAAGCAGCCAGCTGCAGTTAAAAAGGCAAAGAAGCTTTTCTTTAACCTGCTCCTGAGCACCACCTCTGAGGAAGCTCTACAAGGGATAGAAAAAGTACTGTATAATCGAGGGACAAAGTCAAAAAAGCCCCAGCTTGGATCATCACTGGGTTACGGGAACTGCAGTTAAGCAACAAACCAATGTTGGTCTTGACCCACACACCGGTGAGTAAGAGAGGACGATGCCTGTGCTCATTTTTAACTTTTCAAATCAATATAAAACTTTCTAAGGGCACTGTTCTATTACACCGCGTAGGTACAAGCTGACTGCATAAGCTCAAGAATTAAAACACCTAGAAATTTTTTCAGATTTGTGAGTTATCCTCTGCATTCCCTTAGAGAGGGGAGAGCTGGGCAGTTTTCACAGAGCTACCACGCCACATACACACATACACACTATTATAAAGCAGCCGTCTGAGCCTTTATAAAGAATTTCCCGTATTTCTCCACTTCTGTGTGCTGACACATTGCTTTCTAAGGCACGTATCTAGGAAAGGTAAGAGGTGCCATAGCTATGGACTCCTCGCTTGTTTCCTGGAGTAAACAGAAAGGTGCAGACATGGAAACTGCAGGTGAGCACCCAGGCGAACGGCAATAAAAAGTTATCTGGAGGCTGTAAAGGCTTCTCACGTCACTCCTCCCTTCACAGGTCCGTGGCTTTTTCGGCCAAACGCCGAACTGGGATTTAGGAACACTTGGGATGTAGCCCGTTTGGCTGTTTGCTGTCCCTTCTCCCTCGGCCTCGGTGCAGCATCCCCTCACCGCACGGCGCGGGCTCTCCCGCACCGAAAATGCCCTTCCACCTTTTAAACGGAGACCGGGAGGACCTTTCCCAGGGGCTGGCAGCCGACAGGCTTCGCCGAGCAACCCTGGAGGCACACGGCGAGGGAAAAGACGGATGATGGAAGGGGGGGTTATCACCCAGATATTTTGATGCGAAGCACCGCACGGCCCCCGATGCGAGCACCGGCTCCCGGTGACGGCAGCTGCCGGCGCTTTAAGGACCGCACGGAAAGTCCTGCGGGGAGCGGCGGGGCTCTCCGGCTCCCTCCAGCCTCCGGAGGAAAGGGGGTGTCCGTCCGTGTCCCCCCCACCCCGGGGGGCTCCGGCAGCGGCCCCCGCGGCTCTCCCGGCCCCGTTCTCCCCCCCTCCCCTA